AAAATAATTTTATGGTTGGGGGTCACCACAACATGAGGAACTGTATTAAGGGGTCGCGGCATTAGGAAGGTTGAGAACTGCTGGTCTAGAGAAAACCAAAGCTGCTATGAGGTTAAAACAAAGCCAGGCCCTGAAATTAGGAAGAACGGGTAACACCACCTCATTCTGTCCTTGCTGGCTCTCACAGCTTAACACCGTGGCTCATATAATATAATAGAGCTGCAGAGAGGGTGCAGCTTCCAGTGTCTTTGGCCCTTTAACTGTAGCTCCTGGCAGGCAAGGACCATCTCAGGACCCCTGCTACCCGGTGTGGATGAGAGCCCAGCGCAGAGCTTAATAATTTCTGTTGCTGGCACTGTTTTATGACTAGCTCTTCTCTCGATTTCTTCAGAGGGAAACAAAAAACTATCCATGGCTCCCTATGACCCAGAGAAGAAAACTTAAAACCTGTAACCAGCATTCGGGCGTCCCTTTCTGGGGGCCCAGCCTGGGCCTGGGCCTGCGACGCCTATCCCTCCCCCCACTCGCTTCTCTGCTCAGCTGACTATTCAGAGCCCAAATCAAGGATCGGCAGCCTCCCCTCTTCCTCAGCCCTCAGGAAAAACTCAAAAATCCCTACTCTGAACCATCCATCAGCACAATGTCAGCTGCCTGCATACGATCCCTCCCCAAAACCCCAAAGATGCCCGGATGGCACAGACGCTGGGTCAGACGTGGGGCTGTGCCCGGGCACATGGTGAGACGTTCAGTGCCTCCGATACATCGCTCGTAAATGGTACAGCTCCTGGCCAAGGTCACACCTGTCATAATAATCTCTGTGTCCCCGGTGGTCCCGGTCGCTGCTGTACTGGTCATAGGGTCTCTTCCGGGACAGGTTGTTGGGCCGGTAGCTCCCAGAACGGTGGCTGTCCATGTGTCGCCGGTCCCCGTAATGATGGTCCTTGTACCAGTGCTGCTCATACTGATGGTGCCTGTCGCTGCCCCATGACGGGTTGCTGTTGCCACCACCGTAGCTGAATTTCCTCTCCCTCTGCCAGTCTCCTCGATCTGCGAGAAAAGAAGGAACAGGCTCATGGCAGCGAGGAATGGCTGAAGTTCATGTCCACTGACGTTTAAACGGAAAGGTGACACGTGTTATAAGCTGACACTCCATGTCCTCCTTCCTGGCCTTTTCGCTGCTGGGTAACATACACCAGTAGTGAGTCCTCACATTCTTTCCCCCAAACGTTAAAGCGGACGAAAATTCACTGCCTTTCTCCTTGGGAAATCCTAAGA